CTCGACGATCTTGGTGCATAAATAACGATTTTGATTATTTTGATCAAAACCCATATGGCCATAATTTAACATTTTTGAATCACACACATGCGGTTATCAAATGTGCACGTGATGTACTCTTGCTGCATCAAGATAATGCGTTTGAAACCTTTTAAAACTCTAAATTCATGTATAAAGTGTAATTTTTGCTACATTTTGCTCTAAAACTTTCGAGCTATACCACAGAGAAGAGTTATATTAAAGTATTACACATCTAAGAGTCATAGGGAATAATCTAGCGGAAGTCCCAATCCGATACATGACCTAGGGAATGAAATATGTTGATTTCTATTATATTGAGCCCGTAGTTTTTCCTGTTCCCGATTCACTCGAAGTCCTATAACTTTTGTTCCTATTGAACCAGCTTCCTGAAAATCAATAGCGTCCGTCCTTAATGTCCAAAGAACCCGTACACCAAATTTCAACTCAATCGGCCACTTTTAAAAAGAGTTAGAGCGCACACGGACGGACGGACGGACGGACGGACGACAATTCAAAACTATAAAGGATCTGAGGATCCTTAATAACCGATGAATTTACTTTCTGTTAGACAATTTATACTTTTATTATTATTACCAATGAAGGTTTCTCTTTAATTGTGAACCGAAAGATTGCTCTTTAACTGAAAAAGACTACGAGCTACACACGCAAAATTTTCTTCTAGTGGTTGATTTTACTTACTGACTCAATTCAAGTCCACGTATTGTGAACTAAAACCACTCTACCGCTTCGAGACACATGTTATGTAATCGCAGGCGTATCGTTATCTTTTTCACACGCACCCTCCCGTGGTTAATTACCAGTCCTCTTGGAAACTTCTTAAATCGTACTATTTCACCCTCATAATAATTTCAAAAGCCCATAACGTGACTTCCCGCTGACCGCTGCTCCCTTTCTGAAATGTTTCAGAATACGCCTTCAAAATGGTGTTAATTGGTTACAGCGACAATCTTTACTCGTTCAGCAATCAACTTTGTTCCTTCTCAACAATCCAACACAGTAGCAAAACTATTGCCAGACGCCTCGACCGTTATGAATTGCACTCTCAGTAATTCGCTGATTATAAGTAGATTGAAATCATCAGAAAATGACGCGTAAACAAAGCAAAATCTTAACTTTTAATGTTATTGATGAAACTTGTAAACTAATAATTATCCATGCATGAAGAGCCAAATTTGTTTGTGGATTCCACAATCGGAACGTGACAAATTTTTCTCTGAAGGAGACAGAAATATCCACACATAATCTAAAATCAAAACAAACCCGATCAAGGATCGAAATACGGGTAACTTTAAACAATTACAAGTACATTTACAGCTAGTAGAGCGTTGGACTATAAATCCGGAGGTCGGGTGTTCGAACCTGGGTTGAGGTGAATTTTTCATCTGTGGCACAGATGGGAATTAAGACCTTCTGCAGAGGCACCTCTAAAAGCATTATGCAGGTCACTCTGTAATTGGGCGCAAGCCTGTTGAGGGCCCAGAACAAGAGAGGGATAATAAATAAGTAAATAATTATTGATAATTATATTTTCCCTTGGTTGAGGTGACCAAGCTATTATGGCTGTTATATAATTATATAAAATGTAGACAAATAATTAATTCGTAATGGCGTCGTGCTTGTGCGGTGTTGATTGTCTTCCCCTCCCCACGACTCGACCTATCTATGAAAGTACATGTCAATCTGGTGCATAACACTGACAGATACCGGTGATATTGTCATTGCATGTGGTTCGTCATTTGACCCAGGGTGCTTAAACTAATATATAATCCAAAAACTAACCTGGTTTAAATTGGTTCCAAATCCAAATAAACCGAATATCCTCAAGGATCGCACAAAGTAACAGGTGGTTATGCAAATGGCGCCTACTTACGTATTCGACAAATCCACCTTTATATCCTCCAAGGTGAGAGAAACTCGATCCAACGTCAACAATTAAAGCGACCTTTAATTTATTCATACGACTACCATCAAAATAGTGTTCGTAATGTAAAAGAAAACGTCAATAAGGAAATCAATATACTGTAACTAATTTGCCGTTTGTCTAGCCGGTCCCGAAGAGATATTTTAATTATATCTCAGAAATCGCTCTCATCTTAATATTTTAATTATCTTCGCAGCATCTGAAAGCTCTTTTCGGATGGAAAAGTGGGGAAAATTAATATTGTCTGATACGTTAAGTAATGATTGATCGATGGCAATTTACAAGGACTCACTCGCTTACACGTAAATAAATCTGATAAAGTAACTTGTCGCTTGATCCAAAAATTACAATTACCGGTGGGCTTCACTGGACTACCGAATTTGGAAATTTCAGTCCGGTCATTTTTGACCGGTAGCTAATCGGATGTGTTGTAGCAAACTTCGTCTGATGATTGGATTGTGTCTAGTGTCAAACGAAGCGCGCTTAATTGGCATGAGGTTTGAGACTGGTCCCGGATTTTTGTGATAACTAGAAGCCGAGAAATTAATGAAAGCCGCTTTGGGAAATTTCGGCCCTTTCCGTGTACCGTAATTCCCTTTTTGATTATTTCCCAGTGCCCCACCTTCCGTCCCTCGAATCGCCGTTTCCTCCGTCTGATTACTTCTACAGATATCATTCCAAAACCGCCGACCTTTACCAGACAGAAGCAGAGTGTCCGAATCTTCTGGTGGCGCTCGTGTTACCGTATTGTCCCATCGCAAAACCAAATTTTGAAACTGGCGTTAGATTTTCCTTTATTCCAAGTGCCTATGTATAAAATTTCATTTAAATACTTTTATAAATAAAAAAGTTTGCAATTCGGTTTATAAATGGACGAGATGCGAAAAGGGCACTGTGAATTTTGAATCGATTCGACTAAACTTTGGGCATTGCGTATTATACCGCTAAAGCTATGCCCATATTGAATTTCATGCAATTCAGTTCATAACTAACGGAGATGTCAAAGCGATCGGACATTTCTAAACAAAGTTACCGTTCACACGGACAGATAGATGGACAGACAGACAATGGAACTGACGGACAGACCAACAGACAGACGATAGACAGCAATACAAAATTATAAACGATTTCTAGGATCGTTAATAAACGGCAAAAGTGTAAAATTATGGAACATGTAAAATAGTTTTTTTTACAATATAACTTTTTTAGCAATAAACGCAGAAAAAATTCCTTCCTTGGTGCAAGCTTCGACACCATAACGAACCAAATATCTCAAACTCAAATAGCTCTTAATATAAAGAACTAGTAGCGTCCCAACGGATGCACGGACGGACGGACGGACGGAAGTGGTCACAATAGCGCTTTTTTTGTGGAAATGCGCTAAAAAGTAAAACCAACATGAATATTTCACTAGTTTGAAGAATGGTCCAATAATAGCACGACTTGAATTGACCAATACAGTGTAGTCCAGGCCCGAGTGGGTTTGACCTTGCACATTTCTGAGACAAAGAACCATGATGCAGGGTGTATGTTTTTTGGGTCGCTGAATCCGAATTTGATATTTGTACAAATATCCGCATGTCGCGGGAGCCGCCATCTTGGAAAAATGGCGGAAAATCGGCTGTTTTCCACAAAACCCCAAATAACTTATTTGGTATCGGTTTTTTGGCGAAAAAAATTCAGTAATAAATTAAAGTACATAAAATTTCCTTTGAGATGAGCTCTTGTTGATGAAAATCGGATAAAAACTGACGCCACTACAGTGCGACGAAATTCGGCCCAAAAATGAAGTTTTCCCAGTTTTCAATATTTACTCCGTGTGCACCGCCGGCCGGTTGGGTTGCCTACCTACAGGCGCGAAATTCCAGAAGGTAAATTTGGCTCTGGCACCCTTATTTTAGATTTCCGAGCCCAAGTGTCCTATATCAAAATACTCCCCTACGCACCACCTACACGCTCCCAAACGGTGGCAGGTACTATAGGAATCACCCTGTATAGATAATCATAATGTGATAATTCTTCAACGTAAATGCATGTACTGACACGTGATGGTAATCAATCAATGTCGCTCATTTGAGTATGTTTGTCATTATGCTACCCTTCATGGCTTCATCATTTATTATTTACCGGAAGCGGAGGTATGCCAACCTGATTTGGTTTTCCTCAAAATCTACACTACGGTAGGGAGGGTAGGCAGTGAGAATTAGAAGAAACACAAATACCTGCGAACAATTTGAGTAACGCATATCGTATACAGCATGTAGTGTTTTTTTTTACCATAAAAAAATGTGCGATATCGAGTTGCAAAGTTATTAACCATTTAATGACATAAAACATACATTGAACCGAACTGTACTAATCGAATTTAACTGATTTACTGGCGTCAATTTTCCGCATTGAACGCTGTACTTAACAAATACAAATTGTTTGCCTCACGTGGATCTAAAACCTTGTCACGAGACCTCCATTCCAAGTTCACCGGCAAATTAGTCATTGAATTGAAATCATACGCGCTAATGACGAATTTAATTAAAAATTCACGAGAGGAAAACTACTAAACGAGGGAAACCTTTCGAAAGCAAGAAATTCTATTTCAGATCTCTTTGTCCATTGGCATTTATGTCGCGCTTAAAACTGACTAAATTATTTAAGAGAATGGGTCTTCCAATTAGTGTGCGTGCATTTAGCATTTGAGAGATGCTAAAATATTAATTGCGCGTGTATGAGATTTCTTTACTTCAAACGGTTTGGGGTAGGATTTGATATTTTATGCAACGCGAATGAACGCGAATCGGTAATATAAAACCCAATTTTGCGCCTTTAAAGAAACCGCGAGCATTTACGGGTTAAATTTGGTTTCCGCTATAAATATCAAACGTTTTGAGCAACGTCTAGCTATTGTTAGATCTAGATTAAAATACACGGGTATGAATGAATTTCCTAACCTACTTTCCGATAACGAAAATTCGCTTTATGAGACGCGTAGTAAAATCAACGTAAATTTAGTTTTAGTTAAAAATGAGTGTGTCGGAATTCAAAAATGATTGGTTTATTGTAGATCGTAGTGGAAATGATATCAGCCACCGACTCCCATACGGCAGATAGAGAAATGTATTCGCAGTTTCATTTTCACTTGAGCCACGTTCGGGCGTTTAAAGGCCACGAGTGAGTTTCGCGCTGCACAATACGAGTAGAGTGATAGAATGACGCTTCCACTTCCAGCGAAAAACTCAGAGGATGAAGAAGATCAGGATAGTGAGCTGCCCCCACCTCCCGATGGTGGATGGGGATGGGCCGTTGTGTTTGGTTCCTTCATGATCCACATTATAAGTAAGTTTAGTTTACATTCCAATTTTGTGATACGCGTGAACTTGACCGCACAATTTTGAGCTGTAATAGATGCGTGCGATTAGCTGCGTATCTTCTTTAAAGTGGAAATGCGGATACTGTCCTATAAAAGGCAAACAGGAAATTAAATCGAAAGAGCTGCAACAGTTGCGTGATGGGGAAGTTTCTTTGTATTTTGTTGAATAAAAATAGGCTTTGCAACTTCAAGGTAGAATATTTTGTGTAACACGCAAGATTGTTTTGTACGCTGCAAGTTAAAAATCCAGGGATCAATTTTAATTCGTTTGTTCACACACGCACCTTAACGTGTTCTACTTTATCTGTAGCATAGTCAAAATAATGCCCATTGCTTCAAACGCTTCGTGAAACACGAACACTTGGCAAATTGGTCCTGACCACTTGCACATCTATCAAGCTTCCGTACTGATTTGTGCCACAGCCCACAACACACATTTTTCCACTAAACTACAAAATCTAAACTGTGCATTTCATTAGTTTTTCACCCACAAAGATCACATGAAAATTTTTGCTTTGTCACGGTGTAAAAAGTGCATTGCTCCAATGTTTACTAACCATAAGACATTGGCCGGTGTTCTAAACATTTGTGAATTCGTTTACTTACCGCAACGTAAATAGCTTTCCCATTTTTTTCATGTCAATAGTTGGCAAGCCTCCTCTTCACTATTTACTCAAAAAAATTCATTAGGTTAAGGCGCCGAGGCGCCAGTTCACAATATCAAAAATATAAAACACAAAATCGAAAATAGTCCATGTCCATTAAAGGAAGCTGGAAAAAACGCACGGTGCAAACCAAAATCAACAATAAATAAACAATGAGCCTGCATCGATATGACCTGAAAACGCAACGTGTCGACCTTGGGCTGTATTGAAGAAGCATTAATTCTTTCCCGTATTCAGAGACTTTTTTTTCAAATAGGCCCGATCGTTAATATAAGAGGCTACCGCTTGGTCACTTATTTAAAACATGGATTATACTGTTGCATCATTTCAAACACACAGTCAGACAAAATGTGACGAAGGCCGGAAAAACACAAAATTTAGTTCATCATTTAGTAGGGACCTCAAGATTATGTGGCCGATTGTCTATAAGATAATAGGCTATAGCATAGGGGCCCTAGGTACGTGTACTAACACTGTACAGAGCAAATACTCTGTGGTCTAAAATGTCATTTTTGATGACTTTCAGTTTAATATTTTTAGCACATTTTTCCAAACGTCCGTCTGTACCACTACTACACGTCTCCAGTTTAAACTTTTTCGTTGTGGTTTCTTTCTTGTACGGTGTATCACAGCGCCCAGACCAAAACGACAAAAGATTTTTGGGATTAGTCACTTCCTTCTCGAGTTATTACTGATTCTGTGCGGGGAAAATGCGGTTTCGTCGGTCACGAGAGACCACATCTATACTAGTTTTATTTTTCAATACACTAAAACCACAACAAACAAGTATAAAGTGTGCACAACTCCTGTGCAGAGAAAGGGCATTTTTACCATTGGAAATGCTTATGTTTTGTATTTTTTGGATATGAAGTTACCGGTTTCGTCAATCAGAAAAGAAGACAGTGGTGTCGCGTCAAGTGTTGATTGTACCGTAACTCGGCCGCAATCAGTAGATTAAAGAAAAGTCGCGGATACTGTCGATACGATACTTACTTAATAGTGCGCAATTGTTTTGTTAATTCCAATCTAAAATTCTCGCACATCTTCTTTCATAGTATTACGAGCATGATACGATGCTTATTATTCAGAAAGTTTACGTTTGCGACACGAGAGAGCGAGTGGAGCAGGTAACCCCGAGTGAATAAGGGTTAGTTGTGTTTTACATATGGCGTTATATGGTTATCATTTCCAATGTATCCGATGGTTGCCTGGATTGGAAATCTGTGAATTTTTAAACCGAAATAGCTTAGTAAATGGTTGGGTTATAAGAGCATGCTATCGATGTTGACTTTCTTGGTAAAAGATTAATGGGGAGGAAGCTTTTTACACATAAACATTTAAAAGCCAACTGGCATACATTCAAAATCCCCCGGCACTTTATTCTGCAAATATTTGCACTGAAAGCTTTGACATCACCAATAGATCTGTCTTGCCCTGACGTTCCACTTGCCTTTTATGAGTACCATCTTCCGAAATTTCGTTGTCAAGGTATTACTTCGACTTCACCTATAGATATGGCTCGTCCATTCGATTCATTTTGCCTTTCTTCTGACAAACCATTTTCGAGATATTCGCTCTTAAGGTTTTGACATCACCAATGGATATATTTCTTCCAGGCGTCCCAATCGCCCTTTATGAGTACCCTCTCGATAAGCCGTTCTAGAGATATAAGGGAATACATCCGATCACGATAAGGGGTCGAGGAGGAGGATTATAGTTGATAGAAATTACTTCTTTTCGTTGAGATCTTTCATTGGAGTACCATGAACCAGCTCCCCCCCCCCCCCCACCCACTCTTTTGATAAAGGGTCAGAAAAAAGGGCGGCAGTTGGTAGAAAATGTTACCTTTCGTTGAAACCTTTAATTATAATACCACGAAAAATAAATTTAATTTGCAAAAAATTCCCGGACTGTAGAATCATTCCCCTAGAAATTTAATTATTTAAAAAATGCGCTAAAAACACCAATGCAAAGTATATATTTCAGTGCAATTTTGTAAAACGACCTAATCGAACTTGAAAGCCTCGAAATTTTTCCACTTGTGGAAGAATTGTGAGCATCTCTTGCATTACCTATGCGAGCAACAATTCGTGTTTTTGTTAAACAAATATAAATTGTGCACAACCCTGTGCAGATAAAGCGCATTTTTGTAAACCGAAATAACTTTATAAATGGTTGGGTTATAAGGTAGTATCATGTTATATTTATCGATTATTGGTTGATGATTAATGGGGAGGGGGCTCTTTGCAATTTTAAAGGCCGGCTGGCACACATTCAAAATCTCCGCTAAATAATGAGAGAAATTCTCGGAAATATTGCATTTTCCCTTTGAAGATAGGCACCTTTCTCCAACATTTGCGAGATATTCCCAATTAAGTTTTTACATCACCACGTCTAGATAATCTTTCCGCCCTTTGAGGGTACCTTGCTCCGGCACGGGTATTTACACTGAAAGTTTTGACATCACCAATAGATATAACTCTCGCCAGGAAAGATTGCCGGTCGCAGCACACCTTGGCACGTTCCTATCCCGGAGGTCGCTCGCATCTTTAGAAAAACACAGATTGTAGACCGGGATCAGGTCTTCTGTGACCGGCAATCTTTCCTGGCGAAAGGTTTATGTCTCGTCCTGGCGTTCCACTTGTCTTTTATAAGTAGGTACCATCTTCCGACATATCGTTTCGTTTCTTCCAATCGCCAATCCTCCTCCTACAATCCGCTCTTGAGATATGAGAGATTATATGCGATTACGATCAGGGGTATGGTACGTAAAGTCAGAAAGAAGGGCGGGAGTTGGTAGATAGCAGTCCCTTTTGTTGAGACCTTTTATTAGGATACCATGAAGGGTAGAACGTATGTTCCGCCCCCCCCCCTCATTCCAAAAATTTTACTTGGCACTACTAAATGCATGCGTATGCAAAATCTGAAACCATTAGGTTGTCGCATGTAAAACAGGTTTTACTTTCAAAAACAGTATCTAGCAATAATTCATCGGGAGTAGAGGTCCCCCCTTAAGACAACGAAATTTGATAGCCGTCCGGACACCTTCAAGGTATAGTGTACGTATTGCAACAAATTCCACAAAGCACAACTGCAGGGGAATTCCCCTAAAAGTAGTTCATCACGGCGGAAGTGGGTCCGAACAGAGTGACGGACGGACGGACAAAACGCAAACGATAGCACATTTTTTTATTTCTTAAAAAGCTAAAAATTAAAAAAAGTAGTTGCTTTTACCGAAAATTGTAACCGAGGTTATATTTCAGGGGATGTTGATTTTTTACGGTAAAGTTAAATTTTTCCCCAAAATTTGATCCACGACTAGCGTTATTTAAAAATAAATCATTCGAATTCCCTCATTTAAATAAACTTATTTGCTTTTTACCCGAAAATTTAAAAAAAACTGATCTCTTATCGGCATTGGTTACAATCTTCTACGGAATGCGCAGCGTGTTATACAAAGTTCCTGCGGTAACACGTTCAGGGGAGCAACTACTGAGTCTCGAGGGGATGAAATTCATTATGGCGCGCATCCACGCCCGCTTTTCCATACAATTTTATAAGATCGCATGGCACGAGTTCAAGCAACGTTTAAATATTATTGTGGATGAATTTAGTTTCTTCTGATTAGAATTTAACTTTCCCGAAACCGATACATTAAGTGCAAGGTTGTTAGGGGAATTTTTGGAAAGAAAAAAAATTTCCCCGTTTGTGATGGTTTTGTTCGTCTGTCCGTCTGTTCTTCGTCTAGCTAGATTTGTTTCCCGAGAAGGGATAGAACAAATGTTAAAAAAGAAAACTTTATAGAGACCCTCGGAAAGACCCCGTATTGCCTGGTTATATTTTCAACCAATCGTAATGTTTACATCACTAGACCTGACCGCCTCTACTTCCACTTTCTCACTCAAGGCTCAAGGCGCATTCGAACTTTATAATTCCCAATCCCTTAAAATATTGTCAGTACTCTTCCAAGATGTGTTACTCTTTATCAATAACAGAATGTGCTTCAGCTGTACTGTACTTATCTCTCATGAACCTGAGCTAATCTAGCGCCAATAAAGAATCACATGACTCATCCTGCTTTGGTCTTATAAAAATAACGTGCGCTTAATTCATTTGGAAATTATCGATTCAAAAGAAAATTTAGAATACCGATTAAAACATCACAATGCAATAGAAGTATCCGACCTAACACCCAGCCACCCTAACGAAATTCAACTCTCAACCCCTTTAAAATGTTCAAAAAGGATTTATCCCATTTTAATGCTCGCGTTACAAAGTAATAATAAATTAACACAGTCAGT